TTATATAATTAATTTAAAAAAAAAAATTTTTAAAAATATTAATTATTCATAAAAATAAATCAGAAGAGAATTTATAGCAAATAAGCAGGCAAATTTGTTTGCAAAACCCTACAATCGTAGGGATAATAATTATCATATTGATCATGTAATCTCAATATTATGTGTAATGTAAGATCTCCTATTATCCCACCCTCTAAGATATTACGTAATATCTGTCACTGTCCTAAGTTCATTCCATTATTTTAGAAGAGATTCTTTTATCAAAGCAGTCATTGCATATTCTGATAATACCTTAACTTTTCTAGTTATAAATAAGACCATGAAGCCTAGTAATTATGAAGTCTTCATCTCGAATCAATATTTATCAGCCATAACTTGATGTACTTGCTGTAAGTTTGTTACAGAATCTATCATCAACTGATTGATATAACGTATCATGAAAGTGACTTTTCTATCAGTAAAGAGATCTGGAAAAAGAAGGGGTTCCAGGTTCAGATTATAGGTTGAGATAGAAATCTGTAAGTTTTTTGACTCACAGACAAATTCAGCTATCAATCTAATACAATAGAAATCTTCGTCATAAACTTCATTAGGAAAATCATAGTTTGGCACTATTACATCTCGTAGATTAAAAGGAGGAGCAGTAGGATTATTCAAAATATGCTTAGCTCTTTAAAAAGGTTTATTTGGATATAGACATCCACGAAATAAGAATAACAGATCAGCGAAAGTAATAGATTTGAAGCTAAAATTGTTAGTGGGTTCTAAGATGGCACTTAAAGTTTTAAAGTATAATATGTATACTCTTACGTTATGGGAATAACCTATAATTTCTATTAAACTTTGATATTCTGAAAATAGGTTACTGTTCAGTGATCTTTCTAAGACACAATAAAGGTAGATGGGTGATAGATACTTTTTCTGTATAATAGTACAGAAGTGATTTCATTTGACATGAGTGAAAAATGAGGAAAATTAAATCTGATATATAGTCTTTTACATAATTCATAAGTTGAAACTCTATATTCTGAAATTTGATTTTAGTTTGAATTAAAGGATGATGATGTGTTAATCAAGGGAATTCATTATTGTATAGGATAAAGGAACGAAGGGTCATAGAATGATCAAGAAACTTTCTTAGAATACAATAATTTTTACAGTATATGCATGCAATTCTGAGATATTGAGTCAAAACATTATTTTGAAAGTAGTTGTATAACCTCTGAAATTTGGTTGAAGGTTTCCAGTAAGGTAGTTGAATGTTCGTTTAATTGATTATATCAACATTTATGATAGTATCCTCTAAGTTTAAGCGAGATCCAAGGTTATGATCAGATTGTTAAATGAAAAAGTTCAAAATAGATTTATATTCATTATTAAATATATAGATATTTTTGATTAGATTGGCCATATATTTGCTAATTATTATTAATAGTTTTTTTAATTTTATTTAAATCCTTTTTTTTCTTTGTGATGAATGATTTTCTTAATCATATTTCGTGATTTTATTTATATAAATTTATTATATTCAGACTAACACAGATTATTGAATGATAATTAAGGTTGCTAGACAAAATCAAGAGTTTAGACAGACGTCTAAATGGTAAAAGTAAAACTTGGTTAAATTATATTAAAACCTTATTAAAAAATCTGCGAAATTTGAAAAAAAGTAAAACTATATTAAACTAAAATAAGTTTAAACAAACAACCTTAATGATGATAAATTAATATTTGTTAAATATACAGATTAAATAGCAAAAAAAAAAAAATCTAAATCGAATAATATATTGTTTATTGGAAATATAATGCAAAGAACAGATATGAAATGATAATTATATAAGAGCAAGTAGGTTCATTTTCATTCATTTAAGAAAACCAAATTTTTTATTCGTTTAACTTAAAAAAATTCATAATAAAAAAACTTTATAAATATTCTATTATTTATTTTACTTAATTAAATCATTTATAAACATAATACATTGAATTTATTATAAAAAAATTATAAGTTAAAATAATATCAATAAAAAAACATTTTTTTTTAAATAAAAAAAAATTTAAATGATGCTAAATTATTGTAAATATCAAAAAACATGAATTATAATATTAATTAAAAAAATTAATCTTACAAACGATTTTTAAAAAAAAAATGAAAATTTATTCTGTTTTGTCTTGTGAAATTTCTAACAAGTTTCAGCATTCAAAAGAGATATTACATCGACTTCAACCTCTAATAGAACATTAACTTTGAATGTGAAATGGAGTTCTCTTCAATAAACTGGTGAATATAGGACGTCTTAATATTATGGTTTGTTTCATATGAGCTAACGTGACTCGAGATATCTTTAATGAAGACTTTCTGATTATTTAACGATTTGGTCTACTAGCAGATATACTGGTGATTAGGGTTCTGCAATTCGATTTGATATTTGAATATTTGATTTGATCAAATTTAAATCAAAGAAGTATTTATTTGATCAAATCCAAATCAATGTTTGATTCAATTCGATCAAATTCAAATCAAGTATTCAAATATTTGATTTAATTCGAATCAATAGTAAAGCCATCTCCAAAGCTTCAAGAGTGATTCTTACTAAGAAAACTACAGTAAAAAGCACTTCTTTAGCTTCAGAAATGCTTTTTTTACTAAGAAAACATAGTAAAAAAAGTATCTGCAGCTTCTGAAATGCCTTTTTACTAAGAAAACCATAGTAAAAAAAGTATCTGCAGCTTCTGAAATGCCTTTTTACTAAGAAAACCATAGTAAAAAACGCCTTCACAGCTTTCAGAGACATTATTTTACTAAGAAAACATTGTAAAAAACGCCTCCATGGCTTCGGAAACATTTTTTTACTAAGAAACCTAGTAAAAAACACCTCTGCAGCTTCAGAGATGCTATTTTACTAAGAAAACATAGTAAAAATGCCTCTGCAGCTTCAAAAACGTTTTTTTACTAAAAAACCTAGTAAAAAACGCCTCTAGGACTTCAAAAACATTTTATTTACTAAGAAACCTAGTAAAAAAATGCGTTTGTAACCCTATAAACAATTTATATACAGAATTGTATACGGTAATAATACGTTTTAATATTTGTAAAAAATGTATAAAATATACTGAAATTATATATAATATATATGTAATTATTACATATACAAAATAAGGAAATTGTCAAAATTACGAATATATAAAATTCGTAAATTACGTATATTATATAAGCTATTTCAATACATTAGATACGTTTTATCTGTAAATATTATACATTATTTTCAGTACATTTGATATGCTATTTTTCAGTACATTTGATACACTATTTTACAGTACATTTGATATGCTATTTTACAGTAGATTTGATACGTTATTTTTCAGTAGATTTGATACGCTATTATTCAGTAGAATTGATACACTATTTTTCAGTAGATTTGATACGCTATTTTCAGTAGATTTGATACGCTATTTTTCAGTAGATTTGATACGCTATTTTTCAGTAGATTTGATACGCTATTTT